ATAAAGAACCAGAGGAGGACGAACTTTTAAGTAAATTTATTAAAGAATCAGAAATAAATGGGTATTTTGATCAAGACCGATTTATGAATTGGTACACTACTAATTTATTGTTTCAACATTTATTTGATATGTTTGTGAGTCGATTGTTTTTTTACCAGGAAATTCCATATCATTCAGAGGATGAAATGCAGAAATTACGTTTTTATAATCAAATCTCACCAGAAATTTATTCACCATATAAATTACCAGAATTTTCAAAATTATTATCACCAACAGATTATTATATTTTAAATAATAATTTACCAAATGATTGTAGAATAACGAAACATGAACTGTTATACTCATCTACTCGTGATGGTGGAAGTTGGAATACATTTATTAAATCATTGCTTTATCAAGGTTCTACGTATATTATAGTGAAGGACAAAGATGGTTATATATTTGGAGGTTTTGCTTATGAAGATTGGGAACAAAAACCCAAGTTTTACGGTGATAAAAACAACTTTTTATTTTCCATTAAACCCAAATTAAGATGTTATCCTACTACAGGTTACAATAATAACTTTCAATATTTACAATGGGGAGCAAAAACTTTATCAAATGGTTTGTGTGACTTATTTAATTAATATTCATTAATAAATTATTATACAGTAATAATTTTTTAAAAAATTAGGTTTGGCAATGGGTGGACAATTTGATTATTGTAGGTTAAATTAAAAGAAATAACTCTTATTATTGTCAAAAAAATTATGGATTTATCGTTAATATTATTTGTATTGTAAAAAACAGGTGGCCTATGGATTGATTCTGATTTTATTCACGGACATTCAAAAGCTGCACCACTTTCATCAACATATAGTAGTCCACGATTATCTAAACAAGAAGATTTTTTAATAGATGAAGTTGAAGGTAAGATTCACAATTTTTCTTTCTTTTTCATGTTGTCATCGTATAGTGTGTGTAAACCAAAATTTTCGTAAAAAATAGTGTGGTTAGTAAAGCCAACAGAAATTGAATATGATGAAATTCAAAAAGGTCCAAAACGTTCAGCGTTAGATACTAATCCTGCAGAATTGGAACTTTTGGAAATGGCTACAGGTCGTAAAATATATTCAAAAGATGTTAGGGAGCCAGATAATTTATACGATGAAGATGAAGAATAATGGCAGAATATTTTAAAATATTGATGTAATTTAATGTGCTCATTTTTATTTATTAAATCTATTTCATTTCAAATTTCAAGTTTTTGATAAATTACAATAGTAAAGTATTTGTTTTATTATTCTGTAATTACACAAAGTATTCCAAAATTAAATTACACTTTTGTCAATTAGATAATTATAATTATTTCCTGCTAATTATTATTAACCTACCAATACTTTATCGAAATTCGTCTGGCTTTTATTTTTGTTTTTCTTAAAAGCGAAATTCAATTCAAATCAAGTAAATTATGATTCATGAATTAAAATAAACTTTAGTATTTAGTAAAGAAAGGTGCAGAAATCATACTATTCTCCACTGACTTTTTGCTTAACCCTAATCGAGAAATCAGTCTTTTCCTTAAAAAAAATGCAAGTATTTTATATCAAAACACTGAATATTAAGATAAAAGTAGAAATTTATAGAGGACGAATTTGGAGATTAATGGAATTCGCTTTAAAATTATAGCCATTTGATGAAATAAAACATTTATAAATAAAAATTCGTTATCAAAAATATTTATTGTAATAAAAATCAGCATTGAATTCGAAATCTACTTAAGTGGACACCAATGTAATATATAGCTTATCGGTAAAAAGTATAGTATATTAAAGCATTGCATCTTTAATTTACTGGGATTCTATTATTTATATCTTTAAGATGTCAAAAATTAACTCTAAAAATTAAAATATTTATTAAAAAATTTTTTTTCAAGAGAATGTTTCAAGATAAATAAAGAATTATGTTTAAATAACTTCATCCTTGAATATAAATGCTTTTTATTCTTTTATAATATCAGATGTCGAATAATAGTAATACAGTATTTGTTAGTTAAATTTTATATATTATGTTTATTGATAAAATGATGTAAAAAGACTATTCTACGAATTTACATTTCAATTTGCCGTT